TTTGTGCTCAAATTCTAGTTTAATGGACTTTGAATTATTTTTGAAAATTTTTGAACAAATTCAATTAAGTCCAAAAACATTTTGCCTTAATTTGTTCTATCAAAATATTATAAATCATGGTTCAACAATCTCCCCATTTTTTATATAACAAAACATTTGAAAATTTGTTTTTGGTAAAACTCCCCCTTAATAAAACATTTAATGAAAAAAAGACATATTTTGAAAAATATTCAAGCTCCTTATTTTTCATTGAGAAATTGAATTTTTCAAACTCATACTTCTCCCCCCTTTTTATTATATCAAAAATAATTCAATTTTTAAGTTTAAATATAACAATGGGAGTATATTTTAACAAAGATGAACAAACATGTTAGTAGCACATGAAATTCAATATATCCAAGTCTAGTATATTTTATGCAATACCAAATGTTGTATTCAAGTGCATGTGAAGTTATCCAAAAATGATATGCATTCGAAAAATTAATATAAATTGTTAGAGAGATATCATTTGCAATAAACCACATGCATGAAAATTTAAACTAAGGTCAAATATTAAAATTTATAAAACAAAGCATTTGAAAAATTTATATCAATTGTTAGAGAGATATCATTTGCACTTAAAACCAATTTTGACCAAAATTCATTATTATGAACAAACATTTATGAAAAATCATCAAAACTTTAGAAAATGTTCATCATAATTCCTTTTAATATACATGAGATAAAAAACATAAAATTATTTAAAATCAAAGCTCATGCATGCTTAAAACTAAATGAGCAACCAATTAATCAAGACAAGCATTAAGCTTAGAGGTTACCTATTCCTTTTCAAGTGTGGCTAGAGCAATTGAACATCTTCATTTTCATTACCATTGCTCCCACATACTTACAAGAGACATTTAATTGGATTTTTGTATCCAAATTGCTTTGGATCCTTAGACGTTAGTTTCAATGCCCCTTGTTCCTTTTTGGAACCCATGTTTGTTTAATTTTAAATCGTTTTCCTTTCTTTAAAGGACAAATATGTTCCAAATGACCATGAAAATGTCAATGTCAGCATTTTTCCATTTTCAAACATAATTAATTGTTTTTAGAAATTAATTTTTTTTATTTTGTTAAGCTTTTATGTTTAACTTTCAAATCAAAATTTTTATTTTTCCAAATCATTAATTTTGATTTTTGAAAGCTCTAAATCATTTTTCAAAGTTTCATTCTATTTTTCAAAATCAACTTTTGCTTTCAAAATCAAATCATTTTCAACTTTAAAATTTGAAAATAATTTCTTATATTTAGAATTCATGGTCTCAAATTCCAAATACAACTCATTATAAGAATCTTGTAACTCATCAAAAGAATATGAATTCAATTCATTTTAGTTAGAAGATACCATTGAATCTTCTTCGATGGCCATGAGGCAAAGGCTGGCTACTTCATCTTCATTATTGGAGTCATCTTCATCACTCCATGTTGCCACAAATGCCTTCTTTTTACTTGATCATTTATTCATTAGGAGGGGACAATCATACTTGACATGCCTCATTCTTTGTCAATTGAAGCACGCCGGAGGACTCTTTTTTTTTTTGCTCGATTAATGTTTTACTTCCTTAGAAGTCATGAATCTCTTGAATCTTTTAAAGAGCTTGACCATCTATTCTTCTTCTTCATCATCTTTATCCACTTCTTCACTTGAGTCTTGATTGCTCTCATTGGTGGATTTGAAGGTAATGCTTACCTCATTCTTCTTCTTTTTCTTTTCTTCATCTTTTTATTCTTCCTTTACCATCAAATCATGAGTGAGAAGAGAACCAATAAGCTCATCAAGAGTGAAAGTATTTGGGTTCTTAGCTTTAATGATTGTCGTCTTCTTCGATTGCCAAGACTTTGGAAGAGAATAAATCATCTTCCTCACAAGCTTCTCATTAGGGATAACTTCTCCAAGTCCCTTGAGACCGTTAACAATCATGGAAAATCTATCTGTCAAAGCTTTGATGTCTTCATTCGGGTTCATCTTGAAATTTTCATAGTTATAATTGAAAAGATCGATTTTGGTTTCCCTTACTTCATTATTTCTTTCATGAGTGACTTGGAGCTTGTCCCAAATCTCCTTAGCATCAGAACAAGAGGAGACTCTTCTATATTCATCCGGGCCTAATGCACAAAATAGAATGTGCATAGCCTTTGTATTGAGTTAGAACTTTTTCTTCTCTCCATCACTTCAATCATCCATCTCATCAGTTGGAACGGAGTGTCCTTTAATGATTTAGTTCCAAGCCCCTAGATTGTTGGCTTGAATGAAGAACATCATCATATTCTTTCAATAGGCATAATTTGCTCATTTGGAATAAGGTGCTTTGTTGATTGGTTGAGAGTCTTTAGGTAGAAGCCATCTTCTCTATTGCGTCTAGAATCGGTAGAGCTTCTTCAAGGATCATCTCAAGGTTGTTAAACCTTCTAATAAGTCAAGCTCGGATACCAATTGTTGGGATTTATGATGAATCTCAAATGAACAATCGGTTAATTAGCCAAGAGGGGTTGAAGTGGATTTGAAGAAAAAAATTAGTGATTAAGGAGATTTAAGGATGAGAAAATTGTTGCACAAAGATTTATAGTGGTTTAAGTTCTTATCCAAGTCTACATCCACTTCCTAAGCTCCTCACTTAGGATTTTCTAACAAATTCACTAATTTGTTCCTTCTTTTTTTAGGGCAAAGAGATAACATTTACACTCCATAGTTTTTCACTTGGCTAAACTATAACCAAAATCCTTTTACAAACGGAAAAGAAATGTAAACAAGAAAACCTCACAAAGTAGGTGTTTACAAAATTAAGCTTACAAAAATACTACTATTTACAAGATAAAGGAAAATAGGAATTAAAAGCTCTTCTCTTGTGTTTGATTGCTTGGATAGGTGTTTTAACCCTTCCTCATGTGTCCTTAATTTGTTTTTATACGTTGGAATGAGTTTTTGCCAGTTTCTAGCCGTTAGAGATCATTTTTCTGCAAAATAAAATTGTTCAAGATAGAGAGTATCGGTAATCCTTTAATAAGTATTGGTATTTCCTTTATATTATTTAAATAAACTAGACGTTGGGCCTGACCAGTATCGATACTATGATCATGGTATCGATACTACTTTGTAAAGTAGTATTGATACTCCTTTGAGTATCGGTACCTATTTTGCATTCTGAAATTTGAGCAAGTTGAAAAACAATTGGTAGTATCTATACTACCTTAAGAGTATCGATACTTCTCTTACTTTTGGTATCAGTATTACGTGAACAGTATCGATACTATTCATGCAGGATTGATATATTAAAATTTTAAGTTAATTATATTTAAAGTATTAATCAATTTTTCACATAAAAATAAAATAGATTTATAAATATTTTAATAAACTTTATATAATCTAACAAAATCATGTTCAATAACTAAATTATATAATAAAATTATTTTAAAGATTATAATTAAATTTTATAATATAAGGATTATAATTAACATAGAATATTAATTTAGTTATCATAACTAACAATTTATTTTAAATTTCAAAAAGTAAACTTATTAATTTAATTATCACAAGTTTATCATAAATTTAAAATAACATAATCGCATCAATTTTAACTTATTACTTATAAGTCCGATAAATATCAGATCAGTTCAATAACAAGTCAGATCATTTACAAGTTGAGACAATTTCAAGCCAATTTCATAACATGTCAGGTTGATAACAGGTCGGGTAATACCAATTATTTACCAAGTTAATCTCCAGTTCAAGTTCATATCGGTATGATATAGGTTGGGTTCAATTATCATATTATCGGTTCAATTTGGGTTCAAGTCATTCTCAGATCGGGTGCAGGTCGGTTTCAAATCTACAATTTCCAAGTCCAACTCAAGTCAATGCCAGTTCAAACTCGAATCAGTTTCGAATGATTTCCACCCGGTCACAAACAATTTTGACTCAAGTCGATTTCAGTCAGTTTTACAAGTCTAATCAACTTTTTACAACCCTACTAAGACAGACCACCCTAGTGTTAGCCTTGCCCCGGTCGATTCTTGCATAGTCGTACCTTTCCTTTTTGTTAAGGTCGATGATGGTGGGGAAATATGTCATCATCAGTTAATTTGATATATATACATATATATATACACACACGGTTATAATCTACTTACACAGTGTAAAACTTTTAATTTTGCACAATTTAGAACATGGTAGAAAATGAGATTAACAGATTTAGGTCCTTTATAAGGCTTCATTTTATTGAAGAGAGCAATATGATTTATAAGCTTTACATAACATAACAAATGAAAAAGGAAAAGATAAAGAAAGGGGAATAAAAAGATTTACATACCAAAAGATAATGCAGGATTTATTCAATATAAGGCATTAGTTAAGAGCTAAAACACACTACAAGCATTTATCTTTTTTATATAACTAACGGTATCTGACCTTTTAATTGAGTAGTCCGAACTAGATACTGTAAAGATCTATTATTAGGGCAACCCTCTTGATCCAGTTTGTTTTATTTACAACATCAAAAATCAACCACTCAATATTTCTTAAGGGATTTAGCATCTCATCCCGCTAAGCTATGACACTACAATTCACAAAAAATGATATTGTTCTTTAAATCATCAAAATGACAACAAAAAGAACACTTAAATCATCAATGCTAAATTGGGCTGAGTACTTTGTAGCGTTTCTGATACTCAAAATGCTTTGAAGAACTTATTTCACATGCTTGTTCCGTTTCAAATCTCATAATTGAACTTCAGAAGGAAATTTTATGTTCATTTAGAAAGAAATCGCATGCTTACCATTCTGTTAGAAGAATTTCATTCCTCAGCTTTTATAGAGATGCTGCATTTAGTCGTCCTGTATGCCACGAAAAACCAAAAAAAAATAAGTATTAATTAACAAAAAGGAAATAACCTTATTACCAGTTTCAAGAGCTCTACCATAGCCTTTCCTTGCAAAGCATCAAATCATAAATGCCCATGGAGCATTAACTTTCACAATCTGTGGTCGGTTTTAGATGCCATTTCCTCTTATGAAGACTAAACTTCTATAATAAAGAACCAAGTTCAGGTAAATAGCCAGCTAGAATCAAGTAGATCTCATCTGATGCTAGGTGGAACTTAACAGATGCAGCAAATTGATGAATTTCGTTCTCCATCTGAAACCAACCTGACCCCATCGATTAACTTCATCTTATTGAACGTGAAATAATCACGTTTTAGTTAATGAGAATAGTGTTAATGCTGTCTTAGGTTATCATGTTTTGTTTGTCGAAAGTAAAACATGACTGAACATTGAAACTTGAAATTAGGCATAATGGTTGAAGTTGAACACATCGTAATAGCAATTAACAATTGATTGAGATTATTAAGACTAGAATGGCTTTTTAAGCAAATATTAACAACCTGTTGAAGCTCATAATGTTGTTTTAACAATTCCTATCTAATCTCTTGACATCGAACAATCCCGGCTGCTCCACCATAGCACAACCATCTCTCACTACCCTTGTTCATGTTCCATCTAACTCTATGCATTGCCACAATCTTGGGAGGAAATGTCTCAATTTTGCTTTCAACTTCTTTTCCAGTTTCTTCTTTCCCTTTATTTGTTGCTTTTTTGGTATTTAGTGACAATACTTTATCATCGTTGGCTTTCTTCTTGTTGACACTTATAGATTTTTGCTTGATTTTGTGTTTCAGAGCTGCCAATGTTTCCTCAGGTTCAGATTCCGTGCCAGGATCGTTGCTTTCGCTAATGACTGCAACAGATTGAACAAGTTGTTGGCTGTTAAAAAAGGAACTTGGAATACATAATTGGCAACCCAGTTGTGAAAGCCTACCTGAAGTTTGTTTATTAGAAGTTGGAACTTTTGCCTTACTATCCTTATCATTTTTGCCTGGGTTTGACTTGGTTAAGAAGGTACGCATGGATCTTTGGCCCTCCCCACAATCAATACTTGGCTTCTTCAATGGCAAAGGAATATCTGGTAAGGGGGTGTTAACTATTACAGCGGAATCCTCCTCCATCAAGGATCCACATACAAAATGCGGGGTTCGATTTCGTGAAAATCTTTTCCCCACTGCTTGTGATGTTAGCTGGTTATAAGAACAATAGTATCAATGGAGACAAAAACTAACTCGAAGAAGCAGCTTACGAATTTACAAGCGGATTTAAATTTTATTTTATAGGAAATTTCAAGTAGAGGCATCACAGAATTTCATGATATGGCATCAATGAAAGGACTCGAATAACTTTACACTAAGGGCTAAGGCTCTGTACCATAGGAAGTAGAAGTAAACATGAATTGCATGAGAAATGCAGAAGTAATAACAACTCATGAATTATTCTTGACCAGTCTCCAAGACAATTCTACTTGGAGAAAGAAAGAAAAGAAGAAAAATATTTATGCTTCAGAAACAAAGTCCTTCGAGGGAAATTATGGAAAGCATTGAAAATAAAGGTAAAGTAACTCACCTGAAAGCACGTAGCAGTACCATCAGCACCACAATATGCAACCATGCCTAAAATTTGTATTCATCAGTCAATCTAAATTTGGAAATGACAGTTTGAGAAACAAGTTATTCATCATCCCACCTTAATCTAAATTTATTTGATATATTTACCAGTAAAGATATATGAAATGTAGCTATTAAAGATATATCTTTAATGACAAATTATTATATAATATATCTTTTGCTAATACGAAATTTATTTGATATATGTTTAGATTCTTACTAGTAAGAAAAGGATAATATTCACCACACCAGTAAGATATACCATCCCACTCAAAAGACAATTTATTTCTCTTTAATTTCTTTCACTTTTCACCTTTTTTCTTCCTTTTGATAGTAAGAAAAGGATAATATAAAACTCGTCATGATATTTGAGCATTCAACAACGAACATTGACCATAAGGAAATCATGCTTATTGACCAATAAAAAGATTGCATGTTTTGTAGATAAACTAGACTCCAATTTAGAATTTATTATATATCTTAAGCTTTGTGTGAGTGTGGGCGTGTGTGTATATTATACAAAAACTCACATACATCTTGCGCCCTTGACAACATTGATGCAAAGACAAAAATAAATAGAGAATTTATAACTATCTAAGTAGGCATGTAATATTACAGAAAAATATTGTATCAATAATTAATATCACGAAGTAAAGAAATAATAAATAGGTTTGTCACATGTAGACTGGTTTTATGTTTGCAGACAACTTAATCTAAAGAATGTAGAGCCCGTGTTATACGTAATCTACCTTCTAGGTTGAAGTAAATTTTCTTTCTGCCCAATGCCTACACAATTTTTAACACGTTTCTAATCAAACAGTGTTAACCATACACTCGTTGACTTCGCTAACTTTTATATGATCTTTTGCTAGTGTATCTTGTGCTTTAAAAAGTTTACCGGTTTTCTGCAATTTTTTTTCCTTTTCAATTTGAGTTACTGACAAGCATATAAGATCCACAGCAATTGTTAAAGAAAAATGTAATGATGTAAGAGAATCACTCCCTAAAATACCTGTTAGTCGCGACACTTGTACACTCCAGATAGCAAAGGATGAACAATTATAAAGGTGCAGTCCTGGACCTCCTGGTTGCTTATATGCCCCAAAAGGTTCTCCAGAAACAGGAACATCACATGCAGTAACTAAGTTGAGCAGTCTCATTGTTCCATCATCGAAGGATATCATAACGCATCTACAGACATAAAATTTTGATTCAATTCTAGTCGAAGAGAAGACCATCAACTACCATGAAAACAATAGGAAAGCCATCATGCACAACTTTCCTTGGTTCTGGCACCCAGTCCAGGCTATATATGAACTTTGATGCTGGATGGACATCCCACAATGGAAGAAATGGATCACTGCAAACAATCATCAAACTAGAGCTCTTAAGGAACATGTAGTCATGCTACCATAGCATCTTGAACGGGAAAAATTCTTAAGAGTAAAATACTCAATGCAACAACCATAAATATACATACACACAACACACCATACCAAGAGAATACGATTTAAGTACCATCTAGTTGAAAGTAACCCACAATTCAGGATCCCTGCTCTTAAAACAACAATGGAAACCAATTTAACAGTTAACGTATGCAAATGTGTCCCAAACGAAATCCTAGAGAACTACAATTCATTTACAAGTTCCAAGTTCAGAGTTTGAATGACTCAGAACTTAAAAGGAAAATAGGAAATTACTCTGGTGCCAACTGAACTTAAATTCTAGAATATGCAAAAATTTGCAAGTTCCTATTTATGCTAGATCAACCTAAGAAAGTCAAGCACGTGTATAGATCAAGTTATGCATTAGATTGATGTATACTATTTCTCATCTTAATTGCTAGTTTCATTCATCAACTAAATATGCATAAAATGCAATACAAATGCCCATTGTTGTCAAGGCATGCTCCAAGTGTTGCGCCTTAGCACCAGACAACAAAAGTGCCTCAAGCCCTATCAGGCAAGGCACAAATCCAGTGCACTTAGATAGGGTTTTTTTCCCAGTCGATAGGCGAAAATAATCTCACCCAAAAAAAAAAAACTCCCATTCATTGTACCTTCTCTAGCAAAAAAGGGGACAATATACTTCTCAATATTAGAGTATTCAACAACAAAGATGGAATTATAAGCCTTATGGAAATTATGCATTTGACCAATAAAGAAACAAAATTTTGCATGTTTTGTAGCTAAACGAGATAACTATTTAGAGTTCATTATCATAGTTATATATCTTAGCCTTATATGCATAAACATGCTATATCACGCATTACTTCACTCAAGCAAAGGCATATTTTTGGCCTAAAGCCTCATGCAAATCACCTAAAATGAGTGTTGCACCCTTGACAACACCGGGCATGCCTATTTATTTATCATCCACCCAACAATAGCTACATAAATGATCCAAAATAATATATATATATATATATATATATATATATATATATATATATACAACAGTCATTGCTCTAATTTGTGGTGTAAAAATGAATTAGGGGAAACTTTGAAGAGAATCGAGCAAACTCCATTCACTAGTGGTGAAAGAAATAAAAATTAGTTTGACTTCTCGGTCAATAAGAACTGTAACTGCAGCTGAACCTCCTATGACTCTGTAAGCTTCACTAAATCATGGAAGTTTATGGAAAGAATCTTAAAGAAAATGAAATATATAATAGTAAATTAAATAGTAAACATAATCTGTTAGTCTACGCTATTGATATATGACAATGCAATATGGCATCTTTAAGATGTTAAAGTTTAATTAAACTTTCAAACTAGTCAAAGAGTTCAATCTTAAGAAACAGTATAAAGACACCAAGCATCTGAATTCCACTGAGATGAATGCATAGGAAACATGACAACAAAAAGTTCAAAGATAATGATACAAAACGATCAAACTTAAATTAGAACAAGCTATCAAGGTTACCGTATGTCCCAAAACTTCAGACCTCCATGTCCACCGGTAAGAATAACATTTGAGCTCTCCATGTCACTGAAATTCAATAATAGAGTTTTTATTTACAACAAAAGCAAGCATCGCAGAATCAAACATACAAATCCGCAGAGTAGGTTAGCGGCATTTGTAACTAGTAGTACATTATCATATTTCAGTAGTCTTGATGAAAGGAACTTGAATGTGGTTGACTGACAAAAAGAACAGGTTAATCAAGTAGTTCCAATTCATTAGCAATAGTCCAACAGAGAACACGTTGCCCATAACCTTGGAAACTTATAGAAAAAAGAAGGATGGCATAATATCTATGAAAGGCAGCCCTCCTTTGCATTTTAGCCACCAAATTACAAAAAGATATTGTTAATGAACATAAGAAAGTATTGCTACATATATAGCTATCTAAATTTAGGGATTGGAATAGGGTTTTGATTTGGAGTTTAAACAACAATGGGAGCAAATTCCGGGATGGTTTTGACTTAACTCCCGCGTTCGTGAAGAGAAGAAGACGGGAAAAAAACGTTTTTGTTTCCAATTTTACCTTAATCTGTAATTAGACTCCAACTATATCATGACTCAAATGGGAAGTTCTAGAAAACCGTTTTAAAAATTTTCAACGGGAAAATTCATAAATGGTCTTTCAACTATTAAAAGTTATAAAATGATCTCTTAAGGGTATTATTTTGTTGAGTCTCTTGACTATTAAAAGTAAAAAAATGTCCACTGACTATTCATATGTTCCAAACCCGTCCTTTTTCGTTAAAAATTTAACGATCGTCTGAGTTGGATGTTAACATATTAACTAAGATATGATAAAATCCGATCATAGAACCATTTAAACTGTATTTTATGGATCGACTCTTCATGTTTGAGTCAATACTTGAAACAATATATCGTCGAGCTAATGCTTGAAAGAAACAATGGTGTCAGTAGACATCATTAAACTATAATTTTATCATATATCAATCAATAGGTTAACGTCAAATTCAGACGATGGTTAATTTTTTAATGAAAAATGATAAGTTTAGAACATATGAATAGTTTAGGGACTCAACAAAGCAACACCATATAGTCATAGTCAGGATCATTTTGTAACTTTTAATAATCATAGACTCAATAAAACAACGCTCTATAGTCGGACGACTATTTGTATATGTTCTAAAAACTTTTTTTTTAAATATATTGAATTTTCTTCTACGAGTTTTATCTTCTTTTATCAAAATGTTATTATTTTACTTCGATATTTTTTAAAATAATTTGGGGTGATTATAAACTACTATTTGTTTAGAACTTCATTATCTTTTATTATTGAAACAACTATATATTGACTTAATATCTCTTTTAACTCTTGTATTATATCTAAATTATTACTTTAACATTTATATTATTGTTTTCTTAGTCTAGTCTTTGTAACATCATTTTGTATATCGTTTTATTCATTATTGTTTTTTAGAAAGAAAAATGATATTTCATAATAAATATAATAAAAATTAAAATATATATGAGAAAACCTTAAGACTATAAAAAAAATCTAAATGTTTATGTTTATTTTTCAAAATAAAAAATCAACGAATCATTAACAAAGTAAACATTAAAAAAATCAAAATACAAATGTGAATTTTTTTTGTATTTTTAGTTTTTTAAAATTCCTTTCAAATTTTATTTGAATTTTCCATCTTCTTTTAGAACGTTTAATGTTTTTTTTATTATTATATATCATTCGACCATATTAGTTTTTTAACCAAAAATTTTTATAGGATAATAAGTATAAAAATGATGATACAAGAATCAAATTAATAAATAATAGTTGGGAAAAAGATAATTGAGGTCTTTTTATTTTTTTAAAAAAAATATTAAAGTGATTCTCAAACTATTTTTACACTTAAAAGTAGTCCTCAAACTTAGTAGGCGAACTTAATGCGATCTTTTGGCCAACAGTTTCCATCGTTGATCATTATGATGTTTATATGGCATTTCACGATGTTTATGTGATGGTTCATGATGACTGGTGACATGATAGGTAGGCTAAATTAATTTTTTTTATTGAGTTCGAATGTCATATTAGTTTTTTTAAGTTTATTTTTTTATTGAATTCGAATGTCAAATTAGTTTTTTTTTAAATTTAGGAGCATATTTAATTTTTTTTAATTATTTTAAGTTTCAAATTTAAAATATGCATATATACAAAAAAATAAATTAATATATATATATATATATATATTAATAAGAGTGATTGAAAATGTTATTATTAAACGATTCATTGAATTTAGAGGCGAATTCCCGTTTGAGTTTTATTTAGTAGTATAATTATACTGTTCAATTCATACATGTTAATTATAATGTAAGTTTTATTTTATTTTTATTTTGTAGAGATGAATTTGTTATTCCTTGAAAAAATAAAAAATAAATAAATATTGGGAGTGTTATAAAAAATCAAACACATAGAACCCATATATACCTTGACTTTATAGAACTATATCTTACATAGATTGATGAGTAGGAAGATTTTTTTTTGTGATATCAAGTTTAAGTGAAATTTACTTCCTTCTATCATGTTATATTCACTAAAATCTCCTCTTATAATTATTTTTTATATATTTTAAAGTTATATAGTTTCCTCATAATTTGTAAAATAAATTTTAATTTCATATTTTTTAAATTTTATTTTTTATAAGATTTTATAATATTTACTTAATTCAATTTTGTAAAAATTTAGTGAAATAGAATTAGAAAGACATTTGACGTTTAAAATAATTAGATGTAAATATATAAATTAAACTTTGTGCAGGATGAACAAGTTTAGATTTGTATAAATAAAAATCAAGTTAAATTCGAGGTAAAAATAATAATATATATTTTTAATTTTTTAGCCCATTTCAGCTGCATAATAAAAGCATGGATCAAGAGACTTTCATGAGTTTACCATTGCGCTAGCCTGCCAACTACATCGAATTCTTGCTTGCTTGCTTTTGCTTCGCCGGAGCTCTATCCAGAGACTTGCCCCGGGCTCGAGCTTGCACGACCTCCGGTTGGTTTTAGATGCCATTTCTTCTTATGAAGATTAAACTTCTATATCAAAGACCCTAGTGCAGGAACAAAGCCAGCTAACTTCAGTTGGACGTCTAATTCGGCGAGAATCGAGTAGATCTCGTTTGAAGCAGGGTGGGACTTATCAGAAGCGGCAAACTGATGAACTTCGTTATCCATTTCAATCCAACTAGACCCAGGACATTGCTTCTCTACACCTAATTCTCTCATCCTTTGCCTGATCTTTGCAACCTGGCCCCATCGATTAACCTCTGCATACATGTTAACTAAAAGAGTGTAATAGCCACTATTGTACGGCTCTAAAACCATCAGTTCATCCACAGCAACATGAGCAATTTCCATATTCTTGTGAAGCTTACACCCACCTAACAATGCACCCCAAATAACAGAATTCGGTTCAGACTTCATGCTCCGTATTAAGAAGAGAGCATCCTTGAGCAACCCGGCTTTGCTCAATAGATCAATCATACATCCAAAGTGTTCGACTCCAGGGGGGATCGAATAATCACGAGTCATGCTTAAAAACCTCTGACGGCCTGCTTCGACTAGTCCTGCATGAGTGCAGGCACTAATAACGCTAACAAAAGTAACCCCGTTTGGTTTGACCCGCTGCCTCTCCATCCTGTCAAACATTGCCAGTGCTTCTTCGGCATAGCCATGAACTGCAAGCCCTTCGATTACCGAATTCCAACAGAACAGGTTTTTCTCTCTTAATTTAAAGAACACCAAAAGCGACCTCTCTAAGCTCCCACATTTCGCATACATATCGATTAATGCGGATCCTATATAGACATCGAGATCGAATGAATTTTGCATTAAATAATTATGTATTTCTTTTCCAGTATTGAGTGCCCCAAGATGAGCACAGGCCGAAAAAATACTTGCCATGGTAACTTCATCTGGGCTAACCTTATATCGCCTCATTTCCTCGAAAAGAGCTAATGCTTCTCCGAATTGCTTGTTCTGAGAATAACAGTTGATCATCGTTGTCCAAGAAATCGTGTCCTTTACAGGGATTTGATTAAATAATAACTCGGCTGAATCAACATCCCCTACTCTCGCATACCCGTCGATCATAGCGTTCCATGTCGCGGTACTCCTTTCAGGCGTTTCATCAAACAATCTCCTCGAAGAACCCAAATCCCCGGCCTTCAAGAAACCCGAAATCATCGCCGTCCATGCGAAAACATCTCTTTCAGGCATTTCATCGAACACCCTTTTCGATTCAAAAATTTTCCCAACACTACCGTAAAAATCAATCAAAGCGGTTTGAACAAAGACATGTGAGGTAAACCCATGTTTCCAAACATGGCCATGAACACTTTCTCCGAACCCAAATTCAGAAACCAAGCAACAAGCCTTAACCAGCGAAGAAAACGTGAAACTGGTGGGCCAAACTCCAGCTCCGAGCATATGTTTGTAATAATCTAAAGCTGCAAAAGGACGGTGACAATGAACAAGGCCCTTGATCAACGCATTGTAGACAAAAACATTGGGTTTCTGCATTTGGGTAAAGGCTAGGATTGCGTAATCCATGCGGCGAAAAGAGGAACATGCAGTGACGAATTGGTTTGATAAGAAACAGTCCTGGTTTACATTTGTTTTGATCATGGTGGCATATAATCTCTCTAGTTGGTTTAAATGGGAACATTGGTTTATTTGATGGGGCTATTGCTTGGATGTTTTGAGTTAGAGTTTGAGGTTGCCGGAGAGGTGTTGCCTCTATGGATAAATGGTTAAGTTTAGCTATGGTCTTGCGGGACATTGGTCTGATTCTAAAGGCAAAGGACCAGTTGTGGGGGAATGAGGCAAGAGGGGTTTACTACTCGATGGACATCTATTCTCACCAAGTGGTATGCACGAGACTTGACGAGTTTCGATTTAACAAGATCTAACTTTCTTTTAAAAAAAATTAGTTCAATTTAGATTGAATTCAAATTTATGGTAAAAACATATGATTCAATCTAAAAGAGTAATATAATTATATCTTATATATTTAAAGATAATTATAATAATATTACTCTTTATATTATTTTTTAATTAGATCATTATTTTATTAAATAAAATTAAATATATAAATATATATATATATTATTTTGGTCGAGCCATGTCAGACAAAGCCGGTTATTATGGGTTGCAGGGAAAATGATTGCTCAGGGTCTCATTTGTTTATAGGGTCTCTAATTTTTCAACCATACTTTTTATTTTTAAATTTTTTTTATCTTTACAATTGAGACCCTTAATTTTTGTAATCTCACTATTTACCTTTATAATTGATACCTCTAATTTTTTTTAATCTTACTTTTTACATTTATAATTGAAACCCTTAATTTTGTTATTCCATTTTTTACCTTTATAATTGAGGCCCCTAACTTTTTTCATCTCATTTTTTACTTTTTATAGTTGATGCCTCTAATTTTTTCAATATCACTTTCTACCTTTATGATTGAAGCTGCTATTTTTTTATTATCACTTTTTACCTTTATAATTGAGACCCCTAATTTTTTTTTACCTTTATAATTGAGACCCCTATTTTTTTAATTTTTACTTTCTAGTTTTAAAATTGAAGGCCCTAATTTTTTTAATCTCACTTTTTACCTTTTGAGGCCCCTAATTTTTTTCAATTTCACTTTCTACCTTTATAATTGAAACCCATAATTTTTTTCGATCTCGCCTTTTACCTTTATAATTGAAGTCTCTAATTTTTTTTAATATCACTTTTTATATTTATAATTGAGGCCCTTAATTTTTTCAATCTCACTTTTTACCTTTATAATTGAGGTCCATAATTTTTTAATCTCATTTTCTACCTTTATAATTAAGCCCCTAATTTTTTTAATCTCACTTTTTAGCTTTACAATTGAGGCCCCCAATTTTTCTAATTCAACCTTTTACTTTCATAACTTACGCTCCCAATTCTTCTAATCCAATCTTTTACTTTTATAACTTAGGCCCCTAATTTAATCATTTTTCTAAAATTTATTAATGTAATATTAAACTAATTGTTTAAAGTAATAGAATATACTTTCGTTCTATGATGACCTAAATCCTGAAAATGTATGAGACGACTCAAATTTTATCTCAAATGATGGGTGAAATAAACCACCCTAAACCTGGATCAAGTCGAGTTTTGAGTGGAGAATGTATTTTTATTGAGTTGAATCGAATTGATCAAAACAAGACTCAACCCGATGCCCATCCCTATTCCCACCTCCAAGCGCGTAAAGTGTCCGTTGGTCTGAGTACAAAAATTGACCTATAATATACACTTGTATCAATGACATAACGCATCAGAACCCTTTTAAATACTTTCAGAATTTTAAGCAAAAATTTAAAAATAAATTCTTATAGAAGGAAAGTATACTCCACAACTTCGAAGAATTAATTTAATATTATATTAATAAACCATATAAAAATAATTAAATTTGCTCAAAAAGGTTTAATTGTTTTGTTAAGAAAACACTTTAAACACAACTTAGAGAGAATAAATAAATAAATAAATTGAATGTGAGTATAGTATGAAACTTGATTTTGAAAAATAAATAAAATAAGGAAGAATTGTATATTATTTTACCATTAAATTGATGTTAGAGAAAAATAAAAGTTGTATGATATTTTTTTTTGATAAATATGAGGTGAATGATATTTGATAAATTAAAAAATGAGAATTAAAAAGAGAAAAAAATATAATTAAATTTAATTTAAAATTGAATGAATAAACGAGAGATAGAAGAAAGGGTGGAAAATTAACAATTTTATATGCAAAAAGAATTAGAAACCCTTAGTTATTTTTTTTTTTTTTTTGAAAGGAGAGTTTTGTGTTGTATTTAAAGAGACAGGAAAAAAAAACCTTCCTAAGCACAGGGTGCTCCACTATACTGGACTTTGTAAGACATGCGCTTGTTCATTTCCATTTTCATTATTCATTCATTATAGTAGATGATCAACTACAACCCAAAATTTCCCTTAAAAATACAGGTACAACAAACAACAATTTAATCACAAAATGTATAATTATAAATGCAAACTTTTCAAAGGGAAGCTTTTGAGAGTGGATTAAGAGAGAAAGATATCAAATATATTTCTCAGGAAGTCAGGATTAGTTGATATCACTTATAACAGATTCATGTTATCTATCAGAGCTAAATATATTGCCACATGTCTGTATCTACTTAGCCTGCTAACTTACAAATGATCATCATTGCCCAATATTTGACATACGCATTAAGAGTTATTATAAAATATCTCGAATGAGATAGAAAAAGAAAAAGTAACCTTAATGAAATCACCTTACCTTTATTTATACGTGCACTATTTTCTCATGAAGATAAAATCTATCGACATCAGACAACATTCGATTCTTCATGACTGCGACTCTACTCAAACTAGACAAGGTGAATCGTTTATAGACATCAAAACCTATTTGATTCCTTAAACACTCCTCTCGAAGATAAGTATTCCCACCGAGTCTTACTTATTTAATACCAACAAGTTTTGGCAATAATACCATCAAATTTCACGAACTGATAGTGTATCAAATATAATTCTATTAAATTAAATAAATTTAATTATATAATAAAAAATCAAAAATATAAATAAATATAAACAAACATATACAATTTTTTCTCAAATAATTTTTCGAATACTTTATTTATTTACACTTTTGAAATCGCAAATAAACTAACACAAAATGCACCCAAAAAAGAAGAAGCTCAGAGCAAGTATTAACCCAAAATGAAGTTACGAGAAGCCCAACAAAACACAAGTTAGTTCCAAATTTGTTGGGGAAGAGGCCTCATGCGACATCTGGTCTTATTTTTTCGGTCGACATCTGACATCTGGTTTTCACCGGCCGTTTAAATTACAACACTCTCATCGATCATGAACTGAAAACAAATTACAACTTGAATTTCATACATCCCCTATGCCAATTTAAATATATCTGTTTTATAATTTTATGTAATTTTATTTTATAAAAAAATATACATTTGCTTTTTAAAAAAATATTTTATAAAAGTATGTACAAATTTTTAAAAATTACAACTTAAATTTTATTTATAATATATATTTGATCGATTGATCAAATTATTTACCTTATATTCCATATTTTCATGAGCTATGATTATAAATTTAATTTATATAAAAAAGAAAGATAATTTAAAAATATCTTAAAGGCGAAGTTTCTGAGTCGAATAAAAAGTTCTGCCATCAACAAAATAATATGAAAAGCCCTTCCTTTTTTCTGCTGCACAAACAACCAATGCTTTGGGCTCTTCATCTACTTGTTGGTTTTTGCCCTATTGTTCTTACTGGGTATTGGCTAAATTCGCCGTTTTGACTATTTGCTCATTCTTATCGCTGACATTGGGAGCTGCTCGTCGGTGGGTAGGAGGTAAATTCTTCAACTTTCTTCTTTTCTTGTTTATTGTATTAAATGGGTAATCTTGGCATGTTATTTGTTTCAGCTAGTTCTTTTAGTTTTCTTTCCTTTTTGGGAGTGTTTTGAGGATAGTATTTGGGATAATGTTGCTTTTTAAGTAGTTTGTTGACATTGGAGCCTTTGGTTCTCTTAAATTCTCCTAGTCCTTTTGTTCAAATTTAATATCGTTTGATGTTTTTCTTCCATATATATTATTAATAATGTTTCATGGTTTATAGTGTATGAATTTGCATATGGTTGCTGCTATTTCTGTTGAAAGAATCTGCAATTTAAGTTTCTAGGTTCAAATTGTTGAAGCTTGTTGCCTGCTGGTTCATTGAAGAAAAAGGTTTGTGGTTTTTTTCCCCCAAGTTATGGTTTGCAGGTATTTATTTTATGATGTGTTTATTTCATGTATTGTTTATTCATTGTTTCAGAACGATATCGATGTCATGTTTTGTGCAGTCCATAAGGTTGCTTTGTTTCAGTTTTGCTTCTATTTTTGCATCGTTCTGTTCCTGCTAGTGCGTGCATACATTCATCATATAAAGGGAATTTGCTTACTTTTCTTCTTATCTGCAGAACCTTGCCTAAACGTTTTCGTATTTGTGGGAATGGACTGGCATCTTTTCCCTGCCATCAAGATTTACAAATGACGTTCAGGGGACTAAAGCCTGGAAATTCTCTTGGCATATTTAAGTGGAGATGGGATCGCGAATCCTCTTTGACGACAGGCTTACTAGGCGATGTACCTTCTGAGATTGAGTTGTCTGACTATGGAAGAGTTCCTCCGAGTCCAGGTAGTGATAGTCCTTCGGTGCTTCTGAATGGCGAGACTCGGAATGTGGAACCAATTGCTGACTTGGACTTGTTCTTTGAACGGCTCTATAGCTACTACTGTGAGAAAGGGCTTTGGTGCATGGTTATTAAATGGATTGTTGAACTTTTGAGCCTGGGCTTTACTATATGTTTCTCAGGGTTCTTCCTATTATTTGTTGATTGGAACGGTCTCCGCAATGCTAAGTGTGGGATGAATGCAGTCGAGTCTGGAACTAAGCCATGTGATCTTGCTAAGGAAGCTCTTCACCAGCACCCATTAACCCCTTTAACACTTTCAAAAGTTATTATTGTTGGATACTTGGGGCTATTTTCCATCTATTGGATATTCTGTTTTTGAGGTTTTTTGCACAATTAAAGGATACCCTTGGAATAAGACATTTCTATTATAACAGGTAAGTATCCATAGTTACAAGATACACCAGAAGCTTTAATTTTTTGTTGGGATAGAGCATTTAGCATCTTATAAATGTTTAATGATTTTGTTAAATGTATCTTATTTTGCAGTCTCCATGTTACTGATAATGAGATTCAGACCATGCCGTGGGCAACAATCCTTGAAAAGGTTGTCTGG